ATAAAAAGGGACTCAGAAAATTAGGCAGTAGGTATAACTCAGAGGCTTTGAATTCTTTTTTTCTTCCAGGAATAAACCATCCCAGAATGTTATTTCCAGTTGGCAGTGGTCAGCTTTCTTATAAACCCAGAGAAAAGCATTAGCAACTGGATTATAGAAGTAGCAACAACTGTTCTCTATTTTGTTGCAGCTCTCAAAAAGAGGAAATGATGTAATAGAAAAATTGAGGAAATGAAATAGAGAAATAGTGATCCATGTAGATAGTAAACTAATTAGGGCCCCAAGATCAGTTAGATGTCATTATTTCATAGCTGAATGAGAAGTTTTGGTTATGTGAAAACCAAACTTTATAAATAGCTTCATGTTAATTCATATTCAGGTCTAGTTCACTTCATTCTGAACTGACAGAAAGTAAGCCTAACTAACCGAAAGAAAGGTTAATTAACCATTACGTGGAATGCCATTGTCTTTGTTCTTCATATAAAAACCCAAGGTCAAATAGCAGTTGATTAAGCTTGTATAGTTTATTAAATTATTTCTAAGGTTACAAGAGTTTGTATCAAAAACTAGACTAGCTTCAACTGCTGTATATCAAACCCTAAATATCCCCACAGCTTAAATTCCTGCCCTACGCTGCAAAGGCTGATAAAATTTTAAAACTTCAGTGGTTTCCTTACTACTCTCCAAAATTAATTTCAAGTCTGTCTGATCAGGGAATGTTTGCTTATGTAGTTTTCCAGCAGATGTGGTTTTTTAGAGTCAGTGGAGATTGCGAATTACTTTTTGTACTGCTTCAAAGTCATAAAGCATCTCTGCTTAAGTAATTCTGCAGCTTTAATAATCATACTTCTTAGAGAAGTAGTACATTGCTGGATAAGATAACATAAGGAAAGTTTATGTGAAAGTCTTTTGGTGAACATACTCAAATGACTCTTCTCATCTGAACAAGGAGAGTGAAATTGAAATGGTTTATGGGATTAAATGAGAGACTTTCGGGCCCCAAGGAGAAAAGTAGATCTCACAAAAACAGTTTAGTTGTCCATTTAAACTGTGACTTTCTATAGTTGAAGGGAAAATACTCAAAAGTTTTTGGTTAAAGGACTCAGCTCTTCCATGAAGCCTTAACTAACATAGTGCTATTTTTAATTCCTTCAGCGTGTATGTTTATAATTTGTATGGCAGTGTTGTAATCTTACCAACATTGATTTGAAACTATTCTCTATAGTTACTTTTTATTACATTGAGTAAATAACCTTTTGTACATTCAATATTCAAAGGTCACTCTTTAGCACTGCTAGAGGACACATAATCTTTGCCCTCAAAAGGTATAATCTTGGGCACGGTGTCTCACGCCTGTAATCCTAGCACTCTGGGAGGCTGAGGCAGGCGGATTACTCGAGGTCAGGAGTTCGAAAGCAGCCTGAGCAAGAGTAAGACCCCTTCTCTACTAAAAATAGAAAGAAATTAATTGGCCAACTAAAAATATGTAGCAAAAATTAACTGGGCATGGTGGTGCATGCCTGTAGTCCCAGCTACTCAGGAGGCTGAAGTGCAAGGATTGCTTGAGCCCACAAGTTGGAGGTTGCTGTGAGCTAGGCTGATACCACGGCACTCTAGCCCAGGCAACAGAGTGAGACTCTGTCTCAAAAAAAAAAAAAATGGTATAATCTTGCAGGATTTAAAAAAAAAAAAAGGCAAATATACATTATAAGAAGGAGTGAAAGTACCATGAAGGTTCTGAAGAGGGAGATGGTCTATTTGGTAGAAGATGAAAAGGAAGTAACATTTAAGATATATAGACTTCATTTAGACAGTCCAGGTGAAGAAACAGCAGGAGGGGAGGCAGGAAGTATAAGCTGTAAATAGAAGTTACAAGGGGAGCTAAAAAGATTAAGGCTATATAATACTTGGCCTTGACTACTACACAGAGGAGTTGCGTTTAATAGAGAACCATTGAAGTTTTTGAGCAAAGCAAAGATCATAATGAGAGTTGTATTTTAGAAACATTAATACTATTTGGAAAGGTAAAGGAAATGATTTACACTTTAGATGTGAGTTTGAAGTCCCAATAGAATATCCAAGATATATACAAAGCAGTAGAAAAATTTGGAATTAGAGATTTTGAGAGGCCTGTGCAGAGTTGAAGTCACATAAGTAAATGAGCACACTGAGTGCAAAAAGAATAAGAAATATCTTATTCTTAAAGTCTCTCATTTAATATATATTTAATATCCAACCTTAAAGAAATATATATACTTAGGAAGAAGATAATAAGGAAAAAGAATCTCAACTCCTCGACTAGATGTAAGCTCTTAAAAGCTTAAAACCCTTTCTTTGTATTTTGTTGTAGAGTTTAATAAATCTGTGTGGTTTGAATATATGGGAAATAAAGCCACAAGACTGATAAAATTCTGTTCTACAGGATGAAGATGAAGAAGTATACAAGAGAGACTTCAGTGCCCCTACACTGGAGGATCACTTCAACAAAACTATTCTTCCTAAAGTCATGCAGGTATGGGGAACCATAACAACATGAGAGAAAATATTCTAAGGACTAAGGCATGGTGTGTTTGGTGGTATAACTCATCTGTCCTTTCCTCAGGTCAAGAACTTTGGACGCTCTGGTCGTACCAAATACACTCACCTTGTGGATCAAGACACCACCTCCTTTGACTCAGCATGGGGCCAAGAAAGTGCCCAGAACACAAAGTTCTTTAAACAGAAGGCAGCTGGTGTACGAGATGTATTTGAGCGACCATCTGCCAAGAAGCGGAAAACTACCTAGGGTCCAACTACTTACTCTTCCAACTGTGGAACACAAGGGGAAGTCTCAGCATCTGGTCCTTGATTTGCTTTTACTATTATTTAAGGCCCCTGTATCCAGCTTATTGGACCTACTGCCATACTTATACTGGGTAGCCCAGTCTTTGAAGGTGCTTTGTGAGGTTTGGACTCATGTTGAGAAGCCCACAGAAAGAGCACTATCCAGGTAGGATTAGAGGCTTCCCACTTAAAACTATTTCTGAGAAATCTTAGATTTTATCATTGGTATGGCTTCCCATATTTACTTGGGACTGTTCTGAATTTTTTTCTAGCCACTTAGCTTGGGTTAGAAACGTGGGCATATGAGTGGACTTCTACCTTAGGGTTAGAAGTAATATACCAGGAAATCTAAGCTCAATGAAACCTGTTTTGCATTTTTGGTTGAAGTTTTTCTATGTGAACAAACTTTTTGATCCATTTATATGTACGTGATAAGAAATAAAAGAATCACACACCAAAAGAATTGTTAGCATGATACTGAGAATAAAATGTCCAAGCTAATAAGCGTTAACTGTGTTAAATAAAGTTAAAAGCAAGGAATTGTCAGGCAGAGGGCATTTCACATTTTGATCATCCCCTTTGATCTCAGAAACTCAGATACTAGACAGGCTCTTTAAGTAGCACCCAGATTTATTCCATGAGCAAATACAAATATGCTTGGTTGTCCTTGCTGTAGAAACTGTACCTGTACAGAACAAAAGCTGGCTCTTGAACTGGGGCATTTGTCTTATTGAATCCAAGTACTTACTAGTATCTTCTTGCCCCGCTCATGTATGAGGGAAGGTACCAATGTTCACTGAGTAGCAATGCAGTAATATCATACTGGACTTAAATTCATTTTTCCATTTAATATTTATTGTATAACTGCACATAGTAGAGCACCAGAGGTTCTAAGAGTTATAAAGAATGAAATTTAACCAGTGGAAAGATTGATTTCTCCAATGCATAAAAAATAAGACCAAGGTCTTTTCACATCCTTCAAATGCCCCACTGAAAAAAATCACTCAAACTGTTTAGTGTCCTAGCATAAAAATTTGAGTGCAAATATTAATAATTACTATGAGGTAGTAAAACACATGAACATAAGTACAAGTCACTGCTGTTGTGGGATACAATCTAAGAATTATCCCAGAGTCAAAATGAGAGTAAGTCCTCAATTCTTTTAGAAAAGTGTTTATAGTTGCCATTTGAGTATCCACTCGGAGGCAGGTACTAAGCCAAGTTTTTGCATCCATGAGCTCATCAGTTCTTACAAACAACCTATAAGGTAATATCACTTTACAGTTGAGGAAACAAGTTTATCAAGTGTGACTTGGCCAAAGGTGATTAATTTTTAAAGTAAAATTAATCATCTCTCTAGGATAGGAAATGGAACATAGAATGTGTTATGGCTCAGAATTCAAATACTAATAAATCTTTCATAGATCAATTCTATATAAGGCCTCCCTGCCCCTCAATAAAGTTAAAAAATAAGACCTCTGATATCTTCTATACTTACCATGTTTTCACCTCATGTACCTAAATTCTAACTCAAAGTGACATATGAACTGGATTGGTAACCTAGAAGGCAGGTGCTGGCCTTTCAGATATTCATAAGGTATCTTAGAGACATATGCCATTGAGTAAAGTAACTGCAGACTCCAAATATACCTTCAATAATGTTCAGTGGGCCAGGCGCGGTGGCTCACACCTATAATCCTAGCACTCTGGGAGACTGAGCCAGGTGCATTGCTCAAGGTCAGGAGTTCGAAACCAGCCTGAGCGAGACCCCACCCCGTCTCTACTAAAAACAAAGAAATTAATTGGCCAACTAAAAATATATAGACATGGTGGCACATGCCTGTAGTTCTAGCTACTTCAGGAGGCTGAGGCAGAAGGATTGCTTGAGGGCTTCAGCCCAGGAGTTTGAGGTTGCTGTGAGCTAGGCTGACATGATGGCACTCTAGCCCTGGCAACAGAGTGAGACTCTGTCCCAAAAAATAATAATAATAATGTTCAGTGAGAGCTAGTCATGAGTAAGACTGGCCTGCCACCTAGCATCTGCATCTGAACATGATGCACTGATTCTTCACATAGATTCACTAAGGTTTGTGGGGGAAGGGATCACTTAGATTCAGTTATTCTCCAACATATAAATTCCCAACAATAAAATGATATACATTGCACTTGACCCAGAATGATAAAACTGCAAAAGACAAAAAATATCTTTATTGCAATAAGTTAATACAGAAGGTATAGCTGAGAAAGCATATATCAGTTGGTTAGGGCAATAAGAGCCTCTACCACATTGCCCATGTGTTCCCGCAAGCTCCGTTCTGCTGCTGCTCGAGAGATCTCCATCTCTGTCATCTGCAGGAAAAGGATCAATTATGTTAACTAGTTCTCCCAGGCATTAACTTGCCAAATATACTGACTCTACTTATTTCAGGAAACAAACAGAACTTCTCCTGCCCATACACTAGTTAAGTACTATTACTCACTATCAGCTCCAGATCTTCCTTTTTGATAGTGACTTTTGCCAGTTCCTTCTCCCTGCAAACATTACATACGTTAGTCCTCATTCTCAGCCAACACCATAAACTCCCAGGAAGCATCATTCCCAACTATGCCATGCAAATAAATCTTGATAAACACTACTGAGTGAAAACACGAAATGAGTCCCACTAATATCCCCTCATCCCCGGGGAGCCTTCCTTCCGATAAGAGTAGTAAACCCTAGATGCGCAGGAATTGGTGGTAGACTTGAAGAACGGTAGGTACAAAGGCTTAAAAATGGTTTTTATTGTTGTCTGGGGGTGGAGCGGGGAGAAATTTAAGGCTGGCTGTGCGCTGAAGACTTACCGCTCCTGTTTGGCTTTCTGCTCACGGGACCGTCTGTCTCCAATAACAGACATGGCCTATGGGAAAGACAAGGCTAATTACTGCTCCGATATACACAACTCCCAATGATCTAAAAAGCCAATAACAAGTGGCTCATGTATCTATTCACGATGATGAGTGTAAACAGGAGGCAAGAACTATGTTTAACTCCGTTCTGTGCACCTGAAGTCCGCTTAATCCCAAGCTCCATCAATTTCCTTTTAAGCCCGTAGCGTGCTCCGGTGCTCGCTGTCTCCCTTGGCTCTACCCTCTACCCTATTGCCGCCTCCTGCCACTGGGATCGGGACCCCGTCTTGTAGCGCTAGCTTCCAGCTACAGCCTCAGAACCCCATCTGCTCTCAGCCCGCCCAGACATTCTCCCGGCCAACCTTACCGTTTCCAGATTGGAACTCTGGATCTCCTTCTCCTCCGCATAGTCGGTGACCCGCTCGAGGTCCGCCGCACCACTGTCATGTTTCCGTGGCTTCTCGGGAGGCCGCTCTGGGCCGCTGGTCTCAGTCTCCAACTCCAGCTCCACATCCCCTTCGGTCGCCATATCGGTTCCACCCCGCCGCCGAAGCACCGACTTATGACGACTTCCGGTAATTGACCCACGACTTCCGCCCGGGAAGGAGGCGGGGCTGGCCCTGGGCCACACCTTCCTTATGCTCCGATTCTAGAAGCTTCAGCGAGGAAGGCAGTTTGCCTTTCAGACTTCCTTTCAGGCTTGAAGAGTGTTGTTTCCTGCAAGTCTTTCTCCCACACCTAACTGTCACCGCACCAGAACACCTTACGGGCATCCTTCCCTCCTCCTTATGTAGGAACAATCTCCCCACTAAATACACCCCCGCCAAGGAATTCTGTTCAACCAGGATGGATGCCGTCTAATCCTAAACCAATTAAGAACACTAATCCACAAGAGACCACAAATGCAAACTGCTCCCTAATCTGGGGAGAACAGCCTGAGTAGCCCAAGTAGTGAGGTCCTGAGGAGAAATCACCTACATGGGCATTTGTATTTACCACATCCTGAAGATCCCAGGAGATCCTGATGTCCCCATTCTGCCCTAGATTGAGTGTTCATCCCCAGCAAAGCGGAAGTCCGGTGGGCTGAGGACAAAAGATGCTGCTTCCTCACCTACCTTCCATCTGGTGGACCTGAGCCTAATCTCTGGGACAAATATGGTGGGTGCAAAAGCCATCACAGTCCCCAGCACCTCCCTGGGCCTGGCACAGCAACACAGCGAAGTCAGCAGTGTCACGGTGAAATCCCCTTTCTATCAGGTGAGTAGGTGTTTGGGCAGATAGGCTTGAAAGCAACCTTAAGCAAATGTTATATGAAAAATTGGAAGGGTAGCCGTGGCCAAAGCTGGAAAGGAAAAACTGCAGAAGCCAATAAAGATGATAGGCCTTCTTTCCTCGATTGTCCTTCTGATTCTTTGCCTCTCTCACTTTCCCAGCTCCAAATGTTTAGGTCTAGGCAAAGGTCAAATAGCTCAAGCCTGCTTGTAATGAAAGCCCTACCGGTTGTCAGTGAAGGAAATGCTCAAGAGCTTGAACCAGCCTGAAATGAATGGAACCAGACATTCTGCCAATTCCTGAGTGAAAGAGAAAAAGGAGAAGGGAAAATTCTGGAATTCAACCTCATGCGTTAGCCTCACATGTAACCTTTATGTATGTCTTTCCTCAGCAAATCTCCACCTTGCTGCCTTGTATTTGCTCTACCCCCAGGTGTCCTGCTGTGGGCCTGTTCCTTGTACCAGCTGCTGCCACTCCAGGTGGCCCTCTCTCACAGAGTCTACTTGTAGCCGCCTGTTCTACATCCTCCTCCATGTGGGAGCCTCAGCAGTCTGCTGCCTCCTGCTGTCAAGGACAGTAGTGGAAAAGGTCTGGGGCAAGGCACATGGGGTAAGTAGGAGGGGGTCAGGTTGCAAGGTGGGAAAGGATAAAAGGGGAAACCCTGAGATAAAGACTTGGGTTGAGGAGGGCAGGAGACAAATAAGTGGACATACAAGTGAGAAGTAGGTACCTCCTCATGCATTATGACTCACCCTGCCACTTCTCACACACTCCCTCTAGATCCAGATGCCTTCAGGGTTGTGTGTCCACCTGTTTGGCCACTCTGACTGTCCAGTGCTCAGTGGCTCTGGGGCTGTGTACCGCATATGTGCAGGAACCGCCACCTTCCACCTACTGCAGGCTGTGCTGCTGGTCCACCTCCACTCCCCCACCAGCCCACGGGCACAGCTGCATAATAGGTTTGTATGTACTTTTTGGGTAGGGAGGGGGCAGAGGAGGGAATTAAACACAAGCACGGTAAAGGAAATTCTGGGATGAACCAATAGCACTGTCAAAAGAAAACAGGTTTAAATCCTGCTTCTGGGCTGGGCACGGTGGCTCACACCTGTAATCCTAGCACTCTGGGAGGCTGGGGCGGGAGGATTGCTTGAGGTCAGGAGTTTGAGGTTGCTGTGAACTAGGTTGATGCCAGGGCACTCTACCCCAGGTGACAGAGTGAGACTCTGTCTCAAAAAAAAAAAAAAAAAAAAAAAAAATCCCTGCTTCTGCCATACTTTCTGTGTGACCAAGAGCTAGACACTTCTCTTTGAGCTTCTAGTCTCTAAAACGGAGGTAACAGTGGGGTTATTGGCTGGGCGTGGTGGCTCACACCTGTAATCCTAGCACTCTGGGAGGCCAAGGCGGGTGGATCGCTCAAGGTGAGGATTCGAAACCAGTCTGAGCAAGAGTGAGACCCCGTCTCTACTATAAATAGAAATTAATTAACTGACCAACTAAAAATATATAGAAAAAAATTAGCCGGGCATGGTGGCACATGCCTATAGTCCCAGCTACTCGGGAGGTGGAGGCAGGATTGCTTGAGCCCAGGAGTTTGAGGTTGCTGTGAGCTAGGCTGATGCCATGGCACTCTAGCCTGGGCAACAGGGCAACAGAGTGAGACTCTTATCTCAAAAAAAAAAAAAAAAAAATACAATGGGGTTATTATATGCGAACCCTTTGTAAACCTATAAAACACTGTCCAGATGTTGTTTCATTGAGATAGAATTTGGAATAGGTTAGCCCTACACAATGGCACATGCTGTAGTCCCAGCTACTGGGGAGGCTAAGGCAGGAGAATTTAATTCTCCTCATTTAATCCCAGGAGTTCAAGACCAGTCTGGGCAACACAGTGGGAACCCTGTCTCAAAATACAAAAGAATTTGGAATAGTGTGCAATAGACCTATCTCAGCCCCCTCTCACTTGGGCCTAGATCCTACTTTCCTATACTTGTTTCTTCTCTGCCCTCTCTCCTATATCTTTGCTTTCTCTTTTGCTCTCCCATAGGCACTCTTCACTCTCCTTTACCTTTTCTTCTGAGTCTGGTTTTTCTCTCCCTCTCCTAACCAGCTTCTGGCTCCTCAAGCTGCTGTTGCTGTTAGGTCTATGTACTGTTGCCTTCTGCATCCCTGATGAGCATCTCTTCCCAGGTACTCTCTCACACCCTGATTAGCAAAAGTAGGCAAAGTTTTCTAAGACAAAGAGTAAGAAAAGGAGTGATAATTTGACATTTTTCCACTGGTGCCCATCTTGCAGCCTGGCATTACATTGGCATCTGTGGAGGCTTCACATTCATCCTACTGCAGTTGGTGCTTATCACAGCCTTTGCCCATTCCTGGAACAAGAACTGGTAAGGGGCACATAACCTCAAAGGCTCTTCCTGGGAAAGTTGTCTGGCATTACTAGATGTAGAAGGACTGGGCAAATTGTATGGCAGGTCATTGATCCCACAGCTTCCCATAGCAGTAACAAAAAGCTCAAGAGAATGGACTGGACATGGTAGCTCATGCCTGTAATCCCAGCACTTTGGGAGGCTGAATCAAGAGGATCACTTGAGTCCAGGAGTTTGAGACCAGCCTGGGCAGCAGCAGCAGACCTTGTCTCCACAAATAAAAAAAAAAAAAAAAAAAAGCTCAAGTGTGATGACGGTGTGGGCCAACTGGGACAGGAATCATACAAGTCTTCTGGGAGAGGGGGAATGGTTGATAGTTGACAATGGGTAAAAAAGAGTTAGAGCTCCAAGCCATTGCCCACCTCCCACCCTTAGGCTGACAGGTGCAGCCCAAGACTGCAGTTGGTTCCTAGCTGTGCTGCTGGCCACCCTAGGATTCTACAGCATGGCAGGTGTGGGAGCTGCACTCCTGTTCCAACACTACACGCACCCCGCTGGCTGCCTGCTCAACAAGATGCTGATTAGTCTGCACCTTTGCTTCTGTGGCCTCCTCTCCTTCCTCTCCATCGCTCCTTGCATCCGCCTCAGTGGGTATATGCCCTAAAACATTCCGGATTTGGGGCCTGTAATATAGCAAATTTCATTAGCCTCCCTAATCCCAATTATCTGATAAAAGAATTTCTGCTTCCCCCAAGGGATAGGGAGACAAAAGTGCGGGTGGGAGTAACAGTGGAAGAAATTACCATCCTGTAGACTAAAGCAATACTACCCCTTTCTCCCCAGAGCAACCTCGCTCTGGCCTTCTACAAGCCTCTGTCATCAGCTGCTATATCATGTATCTGACCTTCTCTGCACTGTCCAGCCGTCCTCCAGAGAGAGGTAAGGGATAATACCTGGACTCCCCATGCTTAAGACCTTTTTTCTCTTGTCAAATACCCAGCTCATTGTTCTTAACACCATACTTTTCTGTTGCCCCTTCCCAGTAATCCTTCAAGGACAGAATCACACCCTGTGCCTGCCTGGCCTGAGTAAAATGGAATCCCAAACACCAGATACCTCAATAGCAATGTTGAGTGCTGGCATCATGTATGCTTGTGTACTTTTTGCTTGGTGCGTAAAGGTGTCAAGGGGAGAAATGTGAGAGGGAGGATGACCAGGACAGAGAGGGATGATCAAAAAGAATGTCTGGGACCATGGTTTAAACTCTGAAGCACTAGAGTGAGAAAAGCTCCCCACAAACAGGGACACTAAGAATAGCACTTTGTCAGATGATCTGTATGAGATGAAGGGGGTGGGGGAAATGACTTGAGAATTTAAAATATGTGCCAAGATTTTAGGGCCCTCACATGAATAGAATTCTAAATCTTTGGTGGAAAGAGGCACAGGGAACACAATATCCCTCCTGGGGGTTACCGATATGGACCAACTAGCAGTAAATGCCCTCAAACAGTACCTATTATTTGACTAGAGCAACCTGAGAACTCTTCTTTCTCAGCAATGAGGCTTCCTACCTGGCTGAAGTATTTGGACCCCTGTGGATTGTCAAGGTTTACCGCTATGAATTCCAGGTAAGCATTGAGAGCTCAATATCCCCAACACCCCTCTGCCCCCAACGACAGACACACACACACCCTACCAACCTCCACCCAGAATGCTCAGATTCTAGCTGCTGTTACCTTTATTGAGTACCCACAATGTGCTAGGCACTGTGCTAGATACTTTACATACATTATCTCGTTTAATTTAATCCTCACAACAACCCTGTGAGGTAGGTATTTGCTCCATTTTACAAATGGAGAAATCGAGGCACAAGAGATTAAACATCTTACCAAAGTTCGCATAGTCAGTTATATGCTGGAGTTAGAATTTGAACCCAGGTGTGCCTCCACTTTTTACATTACCAATCTTTTCAAGGGGAGTTTCCTAGATTAACACCCTCACCTTTTAAAGCCATTCCAAAACATGCTGCCTTCTGTTTTGCAGAAGCCCTCACTCTGTTTCTGCTGCCCTGAAACAGTGGAGGCAGAGGAAGGTGAGTGTCAAATGAGGAGCTATAAGAATTGGTAGATCTCTATGGAGTGCCAAAGAACCCTCAAGTAGCTGGGCGAGGAGGAAAGAGGTGTTTCCGCAGCATTGCTCTTAGCAGGCCTTCCATCTCAACAGGGCAAAGGGCTGGAGCTGCCAGGCCAGTTGACCAAGAGACCCCTCCAGCTCCTCCAGTGCAAACCCAGCATCTTTCCTACAGCTATTCTGCCTTCCACTTCGTCTTTTTCCTAGCCTCACTCTACGTCATGGTTACCCTTACCAACTGGTTCAGGTAGGATGAAGGTGGGCCTGAGATACTCTTCTGAAAACATACATATTTTAGGGAAAGAACAATTCAAGGCCATTCCAAACCAAATGAATCTGCCATAATCTTTCATGGGGAGGGGAGGTAGGGGAGGTCTGAAAGTTAAGGCCCTGCAGGTTTATCTAACTAGAGCCTTTGGTTCCACAGCTATGAAGGAGCAGAACTGGAAAAAACCTTCACAAAGGGTAGCTGGGCTACCTTCTGGGTCAAGGTTGCTTCCTGCTGGGCCTGTGTACTCCTCTACCTGGGGCTGCTACTGGTACCATTCTGTTGGTCCCCCACCCAGAACTCCCAGCCCCCTATGTTCAGGGGGCACTGCCATCGCATCAGTATTGCCAGATAAGAAACAGCCTCCAGTCCAGGTCCTTCTAAGAAACTGGGGTTTCCCTGAGGTTGTACTCCTAGTTTTGGCTCAGGAGAGCTGTCCAGCCCAGCTTAATACCTCAAGGAACAATGGGGAGTTTTCTCCTTTCAGGCTGAAGGCAATACTATGTCTGAATTAGAAGATGTGGTCACAAACATCTGACTCACTGGAGCTACCGTTATGTCTTCATCCCAGCTCAAGAGCCTAACTCACAAATCAGCAGCTCAGGAACCACTGCTGATCCCAGCAGACCGTGTGGCACCAGTCCTTTCCTGGCTCTTGAGCTGGAGGTGGGGCAGGGAAAGACCAGTAGGGACTGAAGACTTGGCTGTGCCCTTGGAGATAAAAAGAAAATAAGCAGTTCAGCCCTGGGCACAGGCATGTAAGAAGGCCAGAACCACAGAACAAACCAGGGCATAGGAAGAAAGGAGCATAGAGGCTACCACAGGTTTTAATCCTGATCCTGAGGTCAAGGGAAGTGGGAAGACAAAAACTACCCTCATTCCATGAGGAATGACAGAAGAGAATGTGAACACTTGAGAGCAGCTGACCACAGGAAGTCGGTAAGCAGGAGTTTTTGGCCAACTTTCAAGCAGACAAACAAACTGAGAAAGAATGAGGAAGAGAGCTACAAACTTAGGTCTTGAAGCCTTCCCTCTTAGGGCCTCAACTCCATCCGTAGGATGGTGTTCAAGGTCTGGGTGGGGAACAAAAAAAAATCACAGAAAAGAAGTCTCTATGGTTCTCAAAGGATTCCTCTACCACGTATCTGGAGTACTTGTCTGGTTGTCATTGTATAATAAAGGCTTCTTCTGTGATGATTCACTTACTAAGTCTACATATCCACAATCTCTTATTAGTCTGAAGAGCTCTCCACTTTTGGTGGGAAAGGGCAGTCATTCCTCCATCCCCATCCCCCCAAATCCCCAGTCAGACCAGGCGCTCAAGGAATTACAAAGCTACTTTTAATACTTTGGGGTGAGCCCCACAGGAATAAAAAACACTGGGAAGGGGTAACCCTCTCACCCCCAGGAGTGGCCCAGGGGGAGAGAGGCTACCTGAGGGGAAGGAAGCACAAAAGGGACCCGCTGCAGACTCAGGGCAAAGGGAATGCCATCGGTGCTGGGACCTGTGAGCACTACAGGAGGAAACGCGAGCGTGGTGGGACTGGCTCCAGGCACACAGGCAAGAGGGTTGGACACGAAGCCACAAAGCTACTTGGGTTCCTCCTTCTTCTCGTTTGCCTTTTTCTGCTTCTGCTGCATGATCTCCGAGTCCCTGGGGGTAGAGATGATGGGGCACTGGGAGGTACCAGAGGGCAAAAAGGACAAGATGCAGGGGGATGAAGGGCACAAAGGATAAGATGGAAATGGATGGGACAAAGTTCAGCATGTGGCTGCTGTTTTCCCACCCTAGGAGAACAAGAGGAAGAGAGCTGAGGCTCAAAAGGCAATCAGTCTCCATCTGGCTGTTGCCCAAGGGGTCAGAAGTCTGGCCACACAGGCCCAAGGCTCTCTATTCTGTGCCGAGTAGTACCACACCCAGCAACACTAGTGAGAAGGTTGGGAGAAGGGAGGAGAACCGAACAGCAAGGAGGGCCAAAAGTACTGGGCTGTCATAACCACAACTGTATTTGAAATATGAAGCTCCCTGCCCTTGCCCTTAAGGTCAGACCCAGGGGCACTCAGAAATCAGACTGAGGGCAAGCACCCATCCCAGTCCCTTCCTGTAATGCTATAAGCTAACAATCTGGAGGGTGTGGAGGAAATAAAACCCTAGAGGTAGCAATGCACTCTGCCCCTCACACTCATCCAGATTCAAGCCCTGAGACAGCTCTCTTTCCTACTACAACCCTTGGTCTAACCCAGGTCTCCCCATCCCTTCCCCTCCCTGGGGCTACCTCTGCTTGCGGGCGGCAGCAGAAAGCCCGTCATCTCGGCGTTTTCCCTTAACCGAGTCGCTCTGCTTTTTCATATTCTTCTGGCGGGCGAGCTCACGCTGGTTACCGCCTAAGAAAAGAAGGTAAAAGGTGAGACCTGGGGGCCGCTCTGGCCACACACCAGAGACTCTTCTCCCCAACCCCGGACACCAGCTGGGAACCAGGCTGCTTGGGGGAGGAGGGGCAGGAAACGAAGCTGCCACAGGACAGGTCAAATTGCAAGTGGAGGGAAAACGGTCCCGAAGAGCCAGCTGGAAGCATTGAGTTTTGGAGCGGCGTGGGGGCCCAGACAGGTGGTGGGAAGTGTGTGGACGGTTTGAGTCTCTGTAGGGAATGGGCTGGACTGTGGAGTAGGGGCTCTAGGCCTATCACAGGGGCGCAGGGCTTCTCACACCGCGGAAGGTCGGGGAGGGCCTATGCCTTACGGAGGAGGGGTTGGGGGGCTCGTGAAGTGGCAGTAGGCAAAGGGCTTGATTTCCGGGCTGAGAGTGTAAGGGTGGCTACAGAGCGCTCCCAGAGAAAGGCCTCGCTCGGGAAGCTAGGGGGGCGTCAAGGCCGGCGATTCGGAGGTCAGGCATAGCATAAACAGAAAGAAAAGGGCAAGAGGAAGGGGTCTAGGTGCTCACGGGTCATGGCGACGGCAGCGGCTCCGGCCTGCCTCCGTTGCGTTCCCTCGTTCTGTCCGACGTTGCAGGAGCCGCCCCCTTCTCGCAACGTAACCAAGTCGTCCCTTTCCTCCCCGCCCCTTCGCGCCCGGGCGCCGACCCCCATTGGGCAGAAGGAAGCACGTGCCGCCGCAGGCCATGCTCGAGCCGGGGCGGAGGTTCGCAGGCGGAGCGCGCAGCGTGGGGCGGGGCTTCCCGAGCGAGGCGTCGGGCCAGGCCCGGAGAAACTAGGACGGATCACGTGGGCTGGGTGGGGGTGGAGGGGTGCGGCTGGCGATGTGGCATTCCCGCGGGCCCGAGCACGTGACCGGGCACAGTGACCTCATGCGGGGACAGTTTAGGGTGCTGACAAACTCTCCCTGAAGGCATGCTGGGGAATGAAGGGCGGGGGTTCAGTCAGTTCTGTGTTATCAGGACTCTTCGATTAAACTTGGCCCTGTTACTTAGGACGTCACCCAGCTTTTTATTTGGACGCGAGGTGTTCACAACTCACGGATAATCATGTACAAACGCAACTTCAGAAACGCCTGCCAACCTTGTCCCCTTCCAAGCCCCTCGAATATAGAAAATCGCAGCCACATCCAGTATGTTCTAAAAATCTGCCCCTGCTCACTTCACCACAGAAACTTCGAATGTGAAGATGCAGTAGCTTGGAAGTGTTGAAGGACTCCAAAAATCACAGACTATGGAGTTGGAGCAGCAGCAGAGATTAGGGAATACACATACTATTGCACATACATATGTCCATTTTTCCCTCTGGACATTTCACCATTGTACTATCCTCACCAGTCACCCCTAGTTTGTAAGAGACAGTTGAATATAACCAGAAACTGAAACTAAACTCATTCTCATTCCCAGGCCAGTTAATCTGTCTACAAGACTCCCCACCAGGCCGGGCGCGGTGGCTCACGCCTGTAATCCTAGCTCTTGGGAGGCCGAGGCGGGCGGATTGCTCGAGGTCAGGAGTTCGAAACCAGCCTGAGCAAGAGTGGACCCCGTCTCTACTATAAATAGAAAGAAATTAATTGGCCAGGCCGGCGCGGTGGCTCACGCCTGTATCCTAGCTCTCTGGGAGGCCGAGGCGGGCCGATTGCTCGAGGTCAGGAGTTCGAAACCAGCCTGAGCAAGAGCGAGACCCGTCTCTACTATATAGAAAGAAACTAATTGGCCAACTAATATATATAAAAAAATTAGCCGGGCATGGTGGCGCATGCCTATAGTCCCAGCTACTTGGAGAGCTGAGACAGAAGGATCGCTTGAGCCCGGAGTTTGAGGTTGCTGTGAGCTAGGCTGACGCCACGGCACTCACTCTAGCCTGGACAACAAAGCGAGACTCTGTCTCAAAAAAAAAAAAAAAAGAAATTAATGGCCAAATAATATATATAGAAAAAATTAGCCGGGCATGGTGGCGCATGCCTGTAGTCCCAGCCACTTGGGAGGCTGAGGCAGAAGGATCGCTTGAGCCCAGGAGTTTGAGGTTGCTGTGAGCTAGGCTGATGCCATGGCACTCATTCTAGCCTGGGCAACAAAGCGAGACTCTGTCTCAAAAAAAAGACTCCCCACCAGATCTAAAGAATTCACTGGATAAAGGAGAAATGCTTAGAAAACATAACTGGAGGCCTGGTGTCGTGGCTCATGCATGTAATCCTAGCACTCTGGGAGGCTGAGGCGGGCAGATCATATGAGCTCAGAAGTTGGAGACCAGCCTGAGCAAGAGCGAGACCCGTCTCTACTAAAAAAATAGAAGAAATGAGCTGGACAACTAAAGAAAAAATATATATATATATGCATATATATATATATAATAGAAATTAGTCGGGAATGGTGGCACATGCCTGTAGTCCCAGCTACTCTAGAGGCTGAGGCAGTAGGATCACTTGAGTCCAAGAGTTTCAGGTTGCTATGAGCTAGGCTGACGCGGTGGCACTCTAGCTCAGGCAACAGATTGAGACTCTGTCTCAAAAAAAAAAAAGAAAAAAGAAACATAGCGGGAAAAGATTGATTGTAAATTTTAACTTGTGATTCTATCCAGCTAGTGCTCATAGCAGAACGGAGTTGAGGCTGGAACTTGGAACTGGCTGCCTCCTGAACGTAGAGCTGTTTGAAAGCAATAAACCTCAGTCAGGACTGTCCTCACGATTTCTTCCATACCCATGAATCACTTGAACTACTGTCTATTAGTTAATATTTCGTACCAGTCTTTTTTTTTTTGAGACAAAGTCTCACTCTTTTGTCTGGGCTAAAGTGCTGTGGCATCAGCCTAGCTCACAGCAACCTCAAACTCCTGGGCTCAAGTGATCCTCCTCCTGCCTCAGCCTCCAGAGTA